GTTTTTAAGCAGAAAAAGTACACAAAGACCACATGGGGCACCGTGTGGAAGATGCACTGACTAAGAGTAAGCTACAAGTTGGATGGAGCAAGATCACTAACCTTAGAGTCTTACAATGATCCAAGTCAGAAGTGACAAGGCTCTGAAGTGGGACCATGTGTAGAGAGGAGAGTACAGGGTCAAGGAATAAATTAGAACCACATAGCTAAATGATGGGGCAGATTAAGGTAGAGGCTGATATCTGGCTTGGATGGTTGAGTGCATGGTGATTCCTTTATTGGGAGGAAAACTTTTGAGAAAAACTATGAGTTCAGTTTGAGACATGACGGGTATATCCCCCTCCAACATCCACAGAGATGGTATTCTAGTCTGTAACTCCGTGGCTATTGATATGCACTTGGTCAAATCATCAATAACCACCTAATTAGAATATTGGGGGCACAAGAAAGTTTCCAGAAAGAGAAGGCAGAGAAAGAAGAGCAGTGGGTCAAGGATAGAGTTCTGAGGAACATGTGAGGATGAGCTCATGATGGAGACTGCAAGGGGAACACTTGGACAAGTAGGAGGGAAACCAGGAGGGACAGGGTCATTCGTGGAGGCCAAGGCTGGGGAGGTTTAAACATTAAGGGGTAGGCCAACAGCACCAAGGGCATTGGAGAAAGTAACTGAGGACTGAAAACAAGGGAATGGAACATAAAGACGAAAAGACTTTTGAAGAACTTTGCTTGAAAAGGAAGAACACAAACCTTCTGAGAACTAGTGGCTTACACAGGATCAACAGAGGGGCTTGAGGGGTGGGAGGGACTTGCACCAGACTATAGGCTGCAGCTGAAGAACTGGTAGAGTAAGGAGATAATTGAAGGCGCTCGGTCCCTGAGGAGAGAGGAGATGGGAAAAGACTGGCCTAGAATGGAACCTGGTTTCCCTTATACTCTGAGATTCACATACTAAGTACATAACGTATTCTTTGTCTATGACAAAAGGAGTCTATCAATGATACAGAGAAATGTATAGATAAATATATGCAGACAGAATGCTATACAATATTTTTTTTTCAATTCCTAACATTATCATATATTCAGAGATGTAAAAAGAATGATCATCCCCGGCAAAATCAGCCAGGCCGCACCTCAAGCTGTCAGGCCTGTTGGCACAGTTTCCCAGGGTAGCAGGCTGCTTTCTCACCATTCCCCATATGCACTGTGGATTTGACCAAGTCCCCTCTATGAAGACTTCCTCCCCTTTGCCCCCTGTTCCTCCATAAGTGAAATAAATGGGTTGGATTAAAATCCGGGCAGCAATGTATATGTCCATCAACAGATGAATGAGTAAACAAATTGTTTCACAGTTGTGCAATTGAATATTACCTAGTAATAAAAAGGAATGGACTATTGATATGCTCATCAACATGGATGAATCTCCAAATAATTACTCTGGGTAAAAAAGGAAAAAAGTCAGACAGTCTCTCCCCCCACAAAAAAAATATAATAATATAAACTATATGATTCTACTTATATAAAATTCTACAAAATGCAAACTAACTTTTGGTGACAAGCAGATCAGCTGTTGCTTGGAAATGGGGGGACAGGTCATGGAGAGGAGTGGGAAGGAGAGCTTCCAAAGGGGCATGAGGAAATTCGGGGCATGAAGCATGTGTTCATTGTCTTGACTGTGGTCATGGTTTCACAGGTATGTCAAAACCTACCAAGTTGTACACTTTATTTTTTTTTTAATATATTTTATTGATTTTTTACAGAGAGGAAGGGAGAGAGATAGAGAGTTAGAAACATCGATGAGAGAGAAACATCGATCAGCCGCCTCCTGCACATCTCCTACTGGAGATGTGCCCGCAACCCAGGTACATGCCCTTGACCGGAATCGAACCTGGGACCTTTCAGTCCGCAGGCCGACGCTCTATCCACTGAGCCAAACCGGTTTCAGCAAGTTGTACACTTTATATGGACTTTTACTGTATGTCAATTATACCTCAATAAAGCTGTAAAGACGTATCATCACAAAGTGATCTTTAGGTGACTTCCAACTGACTTCAACTCCGTTTTCTTTTTCACGATTTCCTCTTTGATCTCTTTATAAAACTCGCACTAGGAAACATCCCTAGCCTCAAGCAAATATCCTTTTGTTGTTAGAAGACACCAAGCCTGGTTTTTCCAAGTGAAAACAAGAGGGGAAAGTTCTAAGTAAAACCCTCTTAATAATGAAGGATATCGTTCACTCCTCTTCCCCAAGCTCACCAAAATCTTGCTGGGGTCAAATCCTGAAAGACAACTTTTATCCGCCATTTAGGGCGTAAAGTCAAGAAGAAAAAGCAAATCTTGTGATATAAATAAACTGGAACCAAACATTTTAAGAGTTGCCTGGTTCCTTTGGGGCTAACCCACGTTATTAATAAAAAGGGCTCCAATTATGAAAGCAGGGGTTTCTTCTCTCTTTAGAGTGGCAACTCTCACCAATTAGCTTGTTAGAGGCCTAAACAAGCTGCACCCCAGAGACAGGGAGATGTGGATGGAGTGGTGGGAGTGTTTTGTTTTTTTTAATCCTGCTTCAACCTACAAATGCAAAACGGACTGGCCCAATTTAAAGTTTTGCAATTTCTGACCACTGGTCTACATTCCTAGAAGGTTACAGGTAAAATAAATGTTGTGTGTTTGTGTGTGTGTGTGTGTGTGTGTGTGTGTGTGTGTGTGTTAGGTTGAATCATTATTTTCTAATTCATTTACTGTAATGAAGAAATAGACTTGGGCCATATGAATTCTGCCTTTGCAATCTACAAGCTTGGTGATCTTGGTCAATCCTGAACTTCTCTAAGCTTCAGCTTCCTCCTCTACAATGGAGTTGAACTCAAAGGGCTGAGCTGACGATTATAAAAAACAAGAAAGGCATAGGGCCTGGTACATAGCACTTAATAATGCTTTATGAAATCTGTATTATTGAGGTATACTTTCATTTGGTTATTACTCAATACCACATAACTTTGAGTTTACCTTTCTCTCACCTTCTGTTACATTAATAATCTGAATCCACAAACAGGTAAGAACACATTAAGGGAATTTGCTATTTGAAACAACAATAGCTAATACAATGAACCCTTAAAGTGTGCCAAACATTGTACATGCTTTTCTTAATCAGTCATTTAACCCTAAGAACAAGTTCATACTATTATTATTACCCCCATTTTACATATGAAGAAACTGAGGCACATTGAGTGATTTACCAAGATCACACGACTAATAAAAACCTGGGGGATTGGGTGGATTTGAATCCTGGCAGACTGACTGTGGAATATCTGTACTTAGCCACTATACTGCAAGTTTTTTTAAAAAATGGATTTTTAAACACTTTTGTTAATTAAATCATGACAGACTTACCTGCCTGATAACTTTGCACACTGAGTCATAACCATCACAGGTCTCTTAAGAAAGGGATCTTCAGAAACGATCTACTAAAATCCACCCCCTGGCCCTAGGCAAGGCCACAACTAAACAGCTCAAGCCTGGTAAAAAAGGCGGCCTGAGAACAAAATTCCACTTCTGCTCATAGTTCATTACCAAGTTTAATAGTCAGGAAATTCTTGAATTACAACTTAATTTAGACCCTTTATGCTTCAGGTTGAGCCCCATTCCTTGGGCCTGATAAACCCCAATATTTCCATTTCTCTTATTCATTCACTCAACTTTAAAATAAACATCTATTAAGCATGCCGTCTGCATTATATCACTGAACAAGTTCTGATAGGATCAGTCAGGAGATTGGCCAACTGGGGACTCGGGGGGAATTGTAGGAACAAGGTGGTGAGAGGATAGGCCCTCATTTATAGAGGAGGTGGGCACAGAGCTCCCAGGCCGCACCATGCAGCCTACTAGTGTGGACTTAACCACATAATCCTGAAACTTCCCAACACAAACTCACCCAGAGCAAACCCAGGGTGATCCCAAGCGAATCCCAAGCAGCCCTGCCTGGGAAACGACATTTTCCTTTTTCCTGGGTCCTAAATCTAACACCACCAGCTTGCCAGCTGCCCTGTATACAAGCTTTTCACTTACTGAAGGCGGTAATTAAGTGGACTCCTTCTCTTCCGCAAACAAAATAACTTCAGTGGCTGAACTAGAAATGTCCCAATATGATGCTGCCGAACAGTGAAAGCTGTGGACAACTTGAGGCCCTTAGAGTGAGAGACACAACGCCTGGATCCTGGCGCTGGTTCCACTGCTCGGTCTGTGTTTACTAAGCACCCCAGTGCCCCGCATGCTGAGCAAGGAGCAACCTCTGCCCTCAGAGGACTTACAGTCTAGCCAGGGAGACGAGGAGGTGCACGGCCCCTTCACCTGTGGCAGGAGTTACCAAGGCCCTTAATTAAGCTCCTGATGTTAAGGAAGCGCCAAGGAGGCTTCCATCCACTATTACCCTCGCACCTCACTGAATTTCGAAATTTGTCCACTAAAATTGGAATAAAAATTACTCCTTAATCTACTTTATGATGCCGTAGGGACCTCAAAAGCCAAAGCTCCTACAAAAGCATAAAGGGCAATTGAAGGTAGGGACTGTTCATTAGCGACGTAATGGTGCTAATCTGCACATTGAAAGGATGTTTCATTGAGCGGTGCTGCAGACAAGCGGCGAGCAAAGGGCTAAAAACTGTTGCAAATCGCTGGTACCTGCTCCAGAAAAAAAAAAAAAAAAAAAAAACAGTCTTGACCTGTTAATGTGGAGGAGAATCCAGAGCAATCTCCAGAGCCAAAATGTCGGAAAAGGACACGCTCAGCACCACTCGCGTCCCCCCAGGGGTCACTCGCCAGGCGTCCCGCGCCACCCCCACCCCTGAAACCCTGGCCCCTGCCCCCAGACCCCAGACCGCCCGGGCCTTGTCGCGGGCGCCCCCTGGCGGCCTCCCGGGGACACTGATCGTTCGGAGCGCGGGGCGGGGCTAACGGAGATGAGGAGGTGTGGTCTTCTCGCGTGAACTAAAGGCGTCATCGCCGCGACGGGCCCGGAAGGAAGTGGCGGGCGGAGGGGTGTGGCGGTTTCTGCGGTTGCGAAGGGGTTCGGACGGGTACGGAGCGCCTGGAGGGACACCTGGTACGCGGCCCCCGCCCCTTAGTGCGTGCACTGGGCCCAGCTGCGGCGCCCGGGCCCACCCCTGCAGCCTCTTGTCTCCCCGGAGCGAGACAGCATCCCTCTCTCTCCCGAATCTCTCTCTTTCTCTCTCTCTAGCTCCCGAGCGGGACCGGGCAGAGGTGCTTGGAGCCCCGGCCCCTACCCAGAGCTCTGGGGATGCGCGCCCTTCTCTCTAGGCAGGGGCGCGAGGTGGGGCGGGGGTGACATCGGAAGGGAAGGGCGGTTGCAGAAAGCACGTTGCTGCAAATCCGTAGCTGGAGGCCGCCCAGGTAAAAGGAGCGCCTCGCCGATGTCGGCGCCCGCCTTCTCAGACCCACGAGGCAGAGCCCGCGCCCTGCGCCCTGCGCGGGTTGGCCCTGGCGTGCCTGGCTGTGCACTTCGGTGTCACGGCCCTAGTTGTTGCAGATCACTCCGTGTTCAGGACATGAGTCTCCGGAGGCCAAGTCTTCCGCATGCCGGTGCCCGAACACAGTGGGACCCAGAAGTCCAGAGTCCTTCCAGCCTGGGGGACCCCCTTTCTTTAGCCCTGGGCTTAGGGACCTGTCAAGTGCCAAGTGCCGGCCAGGTGTATGGGGGGGAGCGTGGCCTCGGCTTGGCCAGAGCCCTCTCCCACGAGGACCAAAGGAGTAACCGGGGAGGTGGACCAAGGCCAGAGAGCCCGCCTTGGGCCTCGGTTTGCATGCTGTCTCTGCCGCCCCGGCATCTGAAAGGAGTAAATAATGGCTTCCTTTGAAGTGGCAGGCAATTAGGAGCGGGAGGCTCCGACCAGAATTACATGCCACAACTGCCTGTCATTTGACTTCCTCTGTAATTTGCGCCAACTTACTGCAGCTGCCTCTTCCCCTTTTCCCAGCGGGAGCGGCTCCTGTGACAGCACGTTGGTGTTCACAGGAAGGGAAGGCTGTGTTCTGAACGCTGCCCAGCTGGCAGTGCTTCTCCCGTGGGGGGCGGCTGTGTGGAATGGCTGCCTCTTCAACGAGGTGGGGACTAGAACCCCACCGTTAGGGGATGGCAATGCTGGCTGAGAGCAGGGATGGAGAGCGCGGTAGATCGGGCCTCGTGCTCACCCGGCAGACTAGCTGTGAGCCTGGGAGCTCCGCTAGGTGAGGTCCTCTCCTGCAGGGCAGACCAGAAACGTTTTCCCCTGTCTTCTTCCCTAGGATAAAGGCTCACTGATGGCTCAGTTGGGAGCAGTTGTGGCTGTGGCTACCAGTTTCTTTTGTGCAGCTCTCTTCTCAGCCGTGCACAAGATAGAAGAGGGACATATTGGGGTATATTACAGGTAAGGCAGAAACAGGGAGGAGCGTGCAACTTTCTGTGAAATGACTCTTTCCTAGTCACTGTCTAGCAGATTCTGCTGAATATCTATGTTTATGTTTTGTTGAATATGGAAGTCTTTTTAAAAAAATATTTTTTTATTGATTCTTTTTTTTTTTTTTTTTTTTACAGAGAGGAAGGGAGAGGGATAGAGAGTTAGAAACATGGATCAGCTGCCTCCTGCACACCCCCTACTGGGGATGTGCCCACAACCAAGGTACATGCCCTTGACCGGAATCAAACCTGGGACCCTTCAGTCCGCAAGCCAGCGTTCTATCCACTGAGCCAAACCGGTTAGGGCAAATATGGAAGACTTTTAGTTGAGCTTTTGTGTTAGTGACCATGGGGATGGGGAATATGTGTGCGCGCGCACACACACACACACACGCACACACACACACAAATGTAAAATAAAACTTAGTAGTCTAAGTTGATGGATGGCAATTGATAACTGTATATAGAGATTGAGACAAAACCTAAAGGCAGCCAGAGCTCCTTGCAGATTATCTCTAAAACATTGTTCTCTCCTACATCCCTCTCAGCATCTTGGTGCCACAAGGTTACCTCTGCTGAGTACCAGGTCTTGATGGCAACTTGAGAAGATAGTCTGCTCTGCGAATTTGAACCTACTCTTTAAAATTAACATTTCAGGAAAAATGAAAGCACCTGCAGGTTCATTTTTTTTCAATCAAGGCAAACCCTAGGATAGTGGTTCTTATAAACTCATTAGGTCACTATTTATTTTATTGCTCCTTTAAAAAAAAAAAGTTTAACTTTATAATGTAAAGCAAAGATGCACTTACGTGTGGGATTACTTTCCTTTTAGTAACCTCCATAGCCAAGTTTTTTGCTTGAAGTCTTTATGGCCCCTTCTTGTCATGTGCCCTGTGATGCTTATTTCCAGATTGCCACTAGCAAGTTCTAAAAGTCTGGTTGGGTTTCCCAGTCCCCTTTAATTATTTCTCCCTACCATCTACTTACATGTCCCCCCAAATGGCTTTTAGTTTTATTACCATTTACATACAACTTGATTAGAACGGTAACTCTACTGCCAAAAATATATATTAAAATGATTTGTAAAATATACTTAAAATTATTCTTTTGGTGTTGATGTCACTGGAATCCAACACTAGTGCAGCTCATTGATTACTGTATTATTGGATTTAAGTGCCCAAATAGATTGCCACAAGTTCAACGGACACAACAAAATAAAATAGACTTCCTCTCAAGTATAGCCAGGAATTCTGCTGCCTTTATTCCACTTCACCTGAGTGCCTATTTTTCTTGCTGTGAAAGCATGAATAATGGTTTTATGTTTTAGCATTAGGCTTCCTAGAATATTCGGGTCTAGCTGGGAGGAAGGAAGGGATCTGTGGAGGTGGCTCTGGCACTTTCACTCTGTATTAAACATTGGTGGGGCTGAAGGGATAGTTGGCCCAAAGAATATCAATGTAATAGGTACCTCTTGCTAAACTAAAGCTGCCTCTTCTCCTCTGCAGAGGCGGTGCCCTGCTGACTTCCACCAGCGGCCCTGGTTTCCATCTCATGCTCCCTTTCATCACATCATATAAGTCTGTGCAGGTATATTTGGCTTGTGTGGGATGGCTGGACAACTGCAGATTTGGGGTGTTGACGAATGCATGATTTGTAATTATTTAGCCACTGGGTGAGCGTGATGCCTTTTCAAGGAGTCATTTAAGAATAAGTTTTACAAATATGAAGAATGAGGCTCCATTAACTCTGAAGCTTTACTTGATTGTTGAAGTGGTTGAATGGAGTCCTTGCCTTGGCCCGTCAGTCCCCCCTGGGAAGTGTTTCTTCACTTCAAGACAAAGCCATAGAAGAATCTGTTTGAATGTATAGAAGGAAAAGTAGAGTGTGTGTGTCTGCATTTTAAATCACAGGCTACCAAGTTGGATGGAAATAAAGTGGTAATTTTGCTGGTTCTTATTTGAACTTCAGAGATGTGAACATAATTTTGGGTAAAGAAGATGGAAGTTGAACTTGGGATATGACATCTAAAAAATAGGAGTAGGATTACTTATGACAGACCTAAAGCCTCCCTACGTTAGACTAGCCATCTTTGAAGTATGTCCAGTATCCTGGGATACTTCATCAGCATTATCCTTGTAACTTTCTTCTGCCATGTACTCTGCTTTATGGTTTTCAAAGTGCATTTATGCACATTATCTCATTTGGGTCTCACAGTGATCCTGAGAATGGGCTGAGCAGGTGCGATGGGCTGAGACAGGTTAAGTAAAGAATCTGTTTCAAGACCAGTAAATGGAAGAGGTAGAAGTAAACACAGATCTTGGGATTCCTAGTCCAGGGTCTGTTTCACTAAACTAGTATTACCCAGCTCGTTCGTGTAGTGGTTCACTTACGGTGGAAGCTGGCAAAGTACTTTTGTTTGGCTAGTCTCACACCGTGTATATCAGGAGGATTCAGAGGGGTATTCATGGTTAACAGAGACAAAGCTCAACCCAAATAGGTACTAAAGAACAAGGACATTTGGGATTCCAAAAATAAGTCACTTGTTTGTCACTGCCCATCTCACAGCATTTTGTGTCTCCTCTATTTCCAGACCACACTGCAGACAGATGAGGTGAAGAATGTACCTTGTGGGACTAGGTAAGGTGCCTGGAATAAAGCTAGTAAGCCCAAATAAGAGAAAGGGCTGTCGGGCTGGCTGCAGTAAGAGGCAGTAGAAAGGGAGGCAACCCCTTGGTTTTATCATGTTCCCTGCCCCCTAGCTCCCTCTGTTCTGAGTCCACTAGGTGGCAGAGTGCAGTAGAGAAAAACCACAGAAGTTAGACAGTTTTGGAAGGGCTTCAAATGCTGTAAGAAGTTTGAACTTTTTCTGTTAGAAGTGAGGATCCTCTAACGGTGTTTAGCAGAGAGTGACTAGATAGAGGAAAATAACTTTAGCATAACTAACTATAGAGAATGTCTTAATGGTGGGAAGGCCTTAAGGGCAGGACATCCACAGACGATACCACTGTAGTGATCTGGCTGGAAAGTAAAGAAGGTCTAAACTGGGATAGAGTAGCACAGTAAACACCACCACAGGAAACATTTGGAGAGGAACAACCCACAGGATAACAGGTCTAATCTTGGCACAAAGTCCTATTTGGAGGAGCACTGGGTTGAAAAGGAGACTTAAAAGACAAACATATACAAAGGTGACCCTTAATTAGAATCTGGTCCAAAACTAACAGCTATAAAAACTTGATGAAACTATTATTAGTCAGCTAGGGCTGCCATCACAATACCACAGACTGGATGGCTTAAACAACAGAAATTTATTTTCTCAAGTTATAGAAGCTCGAAGTCCAAGATCAAGGTGCCGGCAGGATTGGTTTCTGGTGAAGCCTGTCTTCCTGGATTACAGTCGGCTGCCTTGCTTTGTCCTCACACAGCCTTTTCTCTGCACGTGGAAGAAGAGGAAGAGAAAGAGATGACTTTTCCTTTTTTTTTTTTTACAAGTCCAATCAGTGACAAGTTATGACTTCATTTGACCTTAACTAAGGGCCCTATCTTCTAGTATAGTTACATTGGGGGTTAGAGTTTTAACATACGGATTTAGGAGGGCACATAATTCAGTCCATAATGGGAATCATTGGGGAAATTTGAATGACTGGGTATTAGATAATGTTAAGGAATTATTGTTGATTTTCTTAGGTTTGGGAATGGTTTTGTGACTATATTCCAAAGCTTACCAGTGACTTCTTTGTCCATTCTTCCTCTTAGTGGTGGTGTGATGATCTACTTTGACAGAATTGAAGTGGTGAACTTCCTGGTCCCAAGCGCAGGTACAGTTTTCCAGTTGACCCCCACCACCAGCTTACTTTCCCCAAGATGCTACCCTAGTGTCTGTTGCAGCACCTCAGGAAGGAAGTACTTCGATGTCTGAGAAAGGTTTTTGGGTTTTTTTCCCTTTTTATTGAATTTACTAGAGGCCCAGTGCACAAATTCATGCACAGGTGTGGTCCGGCCAGCCTGGCCCTATCAGGAGTAGGAGATGGCGGGAGGTTGGCCGACTGGCCCGCCCCAATCAGGGACCAATCAGGGCCAGGACGGCCAACGGGGGGGGGGGGGGGGGCGGGGGTCAAGGGCAATTGGCCAGCCGGCCCTGCCACCTGTAAGGGGGTAAGGAGGTAATCGGGGTGGGGCCGGCGAGGGGGAGGGGCTGTGGGAGGTTGGCTGGCTGGCCCCACCCACGATTGGGCCTGTTTGCTGGCAGCAGTGGGCGTCATAGTAACTGGTCATTCTGATCATTACAGCATTCTGGTCGCTGGCTTTTTATATATATAGATTGGGGTGACACTAGTTAACAAAATTATACTGGTTTCAGGTGCACAATTCTACAACCTATCATCTTTACACTGTATTGTGTGTTCGTCACAATTTACTCCCCCATACTCTCCTCCACCTCTCTCTACCCCACACCTCCTGTCAGTCACCACACTATTTATATCCATTAGTGTTTTTTTGCACAATTTCTCCACCCCCCTCCCAATGCCAGTCACCCTTCCCAACAGCTGTCAGCCTGCTCTCTATATATGAGTCTGTCTCTGTTTTGCAAGTTTTGAGACCTGCCTTTTATTCTGGAATCTCTCCTTCCCTTCCAGTATATGATATAGTGAAGAACTATACTGCCGACTATGACAAGGCCCTCATCTTCAACAAGATCCACCATGAACTGAACCAGTTCTGCAGTGTGCATACACTTCAGGAGGTCTACATTGAGCTCTTTGGTAAGGAGTCTCTTCTGATCAGAGCCTGCATTGACAGCCCTGCTTCCCCCCCACTGCCTACTTCTGAGCTACCCACAGGGTAGAATGGGCACTGCTGGACAGGAGCTGTTAAAGGATCCTGTGCTCAGGAACTGGTCACAAAGGGCATTCCTAGAAAATGCTGGTGACAATGGAAGACCATGAGAGTGGTTGAGCTTTGGGCACAGAAGTAACAGTGGACTACAGGACTCACTACTGGCCTAAATCAGAGGACTGGAATGGAAATGTGTTTCCGCAGTCCCTAAAATATTCTGTAATGAAGACAGGCTCAGTTCTAGAAGAACCTGAGAGATTACCCAACTCAACATCCTCATTTTAAAATAAGGGTACTGAACCACAAAAGAAGTCGTAGAGCTAATTGGTAGTGGCTGAAGCTAGAACCTCTCTCTTCTGGCCCTCACTTTGTGTGCTTTTCATCACATCACTGAATGAAAGGCACCCAGGGAACGGTGAGGAAAATGGGACGGCTCACCTTTAATTCTAGAAGTGGGACAAGGACCATAGCTACTTACAGTTTCTGGAACCTTTGTGGGGGTTTTATTTGTTTGTTTACCCTATACTTACAGAAATGAATAGAAAAAGCTTAGAACAAAAAGGGTCTACATTCTTAAGTAGACATTTCTTGTCCTTTTTTCCTGGTCAAAGTAAAAATAACCTGACTTCAGCAACAAAGGAAGGAAACATTTCAGTAATTGTTATAGCTCTTAGGTGGAAAAATGTTCTATTTAAACTTGCTGCTAGAAGTTGTCTAGTAGCCAGTGCTAAAAGTAAATGGTTTTTCAACCCATAGTACAACTATTCCTGACACTAGGACTGGGCAGTTATTTTTCCCAGAAATCTTCATAAAAAGGACCCTGAGTGAGAACATTTTTAGAGTACACGGAAGGAGGAATCATTAATGTTGCAAATGGCCTTAATTAAGCAAACAGCCTTTTACACTGTGTTTCAAATTTGGGAAATTGTCAGAATCACTTACAATTTTCTGCAGCAGAAAATGTATCTAAATTCACAATATAGGGCTTACAATCTCTTATTGGGGTTGGATTCAGTGTGCTTTTAGAAAAAATTTGGGCTCTAGCTGGTTTTGCTCAGTGGATAGAGCATGAGCCTGGGGACTGAAGGGTCTGGGGTTCAATTCTGGTCAAGGGCATATGCCTGGGTTGCAGTAGGGGTCATACAGAAGGCAGCCAATTGATGATTCTCTCTCATCATTGATGTTTCTCTCTCTCCCTTCCTCTCTGAAATCAATAAAAATATATTTTAAAAAAAGAAAAAGAAAAATTTGGTAAATTTGCTATATTTTTAACCTCAAACCAATAGAATTTTATAAAATATCATTAGTTTTCTTTCTAGCCCTTGTTTTACAAATGTGTGCCATTAAATGAACATTTGAAAATAAAAAAGACAAAGGATCTCTAATTTCCATGAGGAGGAAATTAAAATATGAAATTGTTTTGCATTAGAAAACTTCTTACTATCTTAGTAAAGTATAGCTTCTGTACAAAGTAGCTGAGAAAATGCGATTTGAGGTATTTTTTCTTTTTTAAAGTTCAATCTTGCCTGAAAGCACTGTTTTGCTAAGACTATATTTGCATCTGTAAAGGAGACACTAGAGTCTCTAATCCTATTCCTTAACCATCAAAAGTTTTTTTTTCTAGTTCCGTCCCCTCAAGATTCCTAGCCCTGACTTTCAACGGGACTACATAGTTCTCATCCTGCTTACTCTGACACATACTCTTTGCCCATTTTATAAAAATACTAGTGGCCCGGTGCACGGATTTGTGCACATTGAAAGGAAATTAATTAGAAGAAATATTTTAATAATTGCTATTCGCCCTTTCTCTATAATAGAAGTGTCAACCAATTTCATGATTGACAGTGACAGATGGAAACACACGTGTGTGATTGGCGCCAGCAAGAGCTTTATATACAGAGAGGCCCGATGCACAAAATTCAAGCAAGAATAGGCCTTTCTTCCCCCAGTTGCCGGCACCAACTTCCCTCTGACACCCAGGACCTGGGCTTCGCTCCAGCCCCAGCTTCGTCCGGAAGGATGTCTGCAATGATGTCCGAAATGACAGCTGGTCTAATTAGCATATTACTTTTTTATTATTACAGATAAACTTGCTTAACTTGACCTGCTTTCTGATTTGCTAAACTTTTTCCAGCCCAATGAAGCACCTCAACTTCTCTTTCAGGTCATTGTTAACAACATAGCAGTAAATATCAACATGAAGCAGATTTTAACTGCAGCAGTGTTTGAATATATCTGCTCAGTGAGAAAACCTGAAGTCATTTTCAAGGTCCACCATATCTTATTTCTTTTCAGTTAGGTCAAGTTTCTAAACTTTCTAAATCTCCATTTTCTGGCTAATGAAAAGAAAATAGGATTCTACTGAGTCCCCAACTACCTTCTCCAGGGCTTATGTGAGGATCAACTGAGATGAGGCATGTGAAAACGCTTCACAAACATTTGGTTAAAGTGTAAAATGCTTGCACCTGGCTATAAAGCAAGTTGTGTTCCTGGGCTGAAGAAACTCCAAGGAGGCTAGTCAGTAGGGAGAGAAAGCCAGGAGTTGCTACGTGATGTCATTACCTGGCACCCACAGTGACCGTTTCTGGGCTGGGCTGGAGGCCGCATTTTGTGCCATGGGGTCTTAGCAGCGTTGGCTGCGATTTGGTGGACTGTCGCTCCAGGGCGGTGGTGGGGCCTGTGTCCCACTTGGGGGAAGCCAAGTGTTGATTTGTCAGTGCCAGGTCCACATTGCCATTTCTCTGTAAATGGCCAGTGCGCATCACGGCAGCTCCTGCGTTGAGCGTCTCTCCCCTGGTGGTCAGTGCATGTCATAGCGACTGGTCAGACAGTCGGAGGGACACTTAGCATATTAGCCTTTTATATATATAAACTAGAAGCCCAGTGCACAAAAATTTGTGCACTCGGGGGGGGGGGGGGGTCCTTCAGCCCAGCCTGTGCTCTCTTGCAGTCTGGGACCCCTCGGGGGATGTCCACCTGCTGGCTTAGGCCTGCTCCCCGGGGGATCGGGCCTAAGCTGGCAGTCAAGACATCTCTCTGGCAGCCCAGCAGCCCTCGGGGGATATCCACTTGCCAGCGGGGAGCAGGCCTAAGCTACAGTCAGACATCCTTAGTGCTGCTGAGGAGGCGGGAGAGTTTCCCGCCACCACCACTGTTCTGGCAGCTGGCAGCCTGCCTTGTGGCTGAGCAGAGCTCCCCCTGTGGGAGTGCACTGACCACCAGGGGGTATCTCCTGCATTGAGGATCTTCCCCCTGGTGTCAGTGTGTGTCATAGTGACCAGTCATTCCCAGTCGTTCTGCTGTTAGGGTCAATTTGCGTATTACCTTTTATTATATAGGATAGAGGCCTGGTGCACGGGTGGGGGCTGGCTGGTTTGCCCTGAAGGGTGTCCCGGATCAGGGTGGGGGTCCTGCTGGGGTGTCTGGCCAGCCTGGGTGAAGGGCTGAGGGCCATTTTCAGGCTGGTCAAGTCCCCCAGTGGAGACCCTCACCCCATGGGGGTGTGGCCAGCCTGGGTGAGGGGCTGATGACTCTTTGCAGGCTGGCCACAGCCCCTTCAGGGTGGGGGGGGGGGGGGTCCCACTGGGGTGCCTGGGCCTGGCCAGCCTGGGTGAGGGGCTGATGGCTGTTTGCAGGCTGGTCACACCCCCTTCATTGGGGGGGTGTCCCACTGGGGTGCCTGGCCAGCCTGGGTGAGGGGCTGATGGCCATTTTCAGGCTGGCCATGCCCACGGGCTGGAAGCAGGTATCTGGGATTTATTTATCTTCTATAATTGAAATTTTATAGCCTTGAGTGGAGCTCAGGGCCAGCCAGGGCAGGCGGGAAGCTTGGCTTCCTCCATTGCCGCGGGCAACGCAAGTCTCCTGCTCACTCCAGCTCTGTGGCCACAGCCATCTTTGTGACGAAGTGACAGAGTGAGGAGTGATGGTTAATTTGCATATTACTCTTTTACTAGATAGAATTATCTAGGACTTGTTCAACAGTTTACCTGGAGAACCTGTGTATATTTAATAATATAACTTAACTAGCATTTATCAGCATAACTGTAACATAAACAACTTATTAGTAGTATTACTTTGGTAATAAACCACATTTCAAAATATTTCTTCCAGATTTTCCTGAAAGTTACCAGCCCAGGGCCACAGATTTCTACTTTGACTCAGATATAATTTGGTCTGATAAATGACTGTGTTATTAACTTACAGAGGGTACAGGCCATCATACTTAAAGTTTGGTGGGTATCCTATTTAAAATAGAAAATATAAAATGTAATGTTTCTCCCTAGCTGTCAAATTGTTAGGCCAGTGTCAGGTGCAAGGTACTGCCTTTATGAGCATTTCTCCTTCCATGCTAAGAGGCTTGTGAGAACATAGCCAAAAAATGGAAACATTCAAATCCCTCGCTCACTGATATGACAGTCGGAAAAATTACTGTTTTAAACCCTAATAATCAAAACATAATAATTAATCAAGTTCATTATTTTGGTTACTAACTGGTTTGAGCACATCTCAGCCTCCGTGGACTTCAGTTTGGGCATCTGTAAAAGGCAGGAGTTAGATTTGCTATTTCTCAAAGTTCTCCTGTGTGGGCATAAGTGACCAAGAATGGCCGCTTAAAACAGATGGCAGCTGACAATGAGGGAGATGATTGAGTTTAGATATCCCAATTTGGTTTCATGGAGTCTTTTTCTTGGTGCCCTTCTGGGATCTTATTGAGGCTCTCAGGCCAGAGAAGGCAGCCTGGTGCTGCTGTCCTGGGATCATAGCTAGAAGGGAATCAGTTATAGCTCTTCCTACACTTGTCTGTGAAACGACCCACATGTGAATTCCAGGCAAAGGAATCAGGACCAAAGCAAACAACACATCAAAAGACTTGGACTCGTTTCCAGAACTGTAAATTTTTATTTTCCCCTTGTGTCATTTGGTGGAGTTCCTAATGGACATAGTCTTCCTTGGGGCTTCCTTGACGTCAGAATCTGTTTTTGTTTCAGAAACAGCTAAAATTACTAGATTGAATGTGCTCAGCTCTTTTCAAAATATTTAACAGAGCCATTCCATCTTCTTTTTTCGTGAAAACTGGGTGCCTGCCTTCTGTTTTGCTCCTGTTGTCTCGGGAAAGACTGTTGCCTTTCTCAAGATATGTGCTAAATGATTGTTTGTTCTTTTCCTTTTTAAAGCTCAGTTCCCTTTTGGGCAAGGTTGATATTTTCAATAACCTAGGGATTCTCTCTCGAGGTCACAGGGAAAGGATACTCTCACATCTAGCTATGTAGAGGGACTGCGGAGGCAGGTTGCTCCGAAAGTCTTGCTGGAGAACTTTATGTTTCTGGGCTATGATAAGCATAGCCCAGACCTTTTGCTTGGGAAGACCTTTTGCTTGTGAGGTACATTCTTGAACTGGTGTTTTAGCTTTACCTCTACCCCATATTTCCCTCCACCCTATCTAGATAGTGTGACAACTCCTTTTCCTGTCTTTCTTTTTTTTATATATATATATATATTTTTTTTATTGATTAAGATATTACACATGTGTCCTTGTCCCCACGTTACCCTCTACCCCCCCACCCCCCCCCCACCCCGCTCATGCCCTCACCCCCCCGTTGTCCATGTCCATTGATTAGGCCCATATGCTTGCATATAAGTCCTTTGGTTGATCTTTCCCCCTTAACCCCACCCTCCCCTACCTTCCCTCCAAGTCCCGACAGTCCAATCAATGCCTCTCCGTCTCTGGATCAGTCCTTGTTCATCAGCTTATGTTGTTCATTATATTCCACAAATGAGTGAGATCATGTGGTATTTATCCGCTCTCCAGTTCCATCCATGCTGTGGCAAATGGTAAGAGTTCCTTTTTCTTCTTCCTCTTCTTAAAGAATACCTTTCAGCATTTCATATAATGCTGGTTTGGTGGTGATGAACTCCTTTAGCTTTTTCTTATCCGTGAAGCTCTTTATCTGACCTTCTATTCTGAATGATAGCTTTGCTGGATAAAGTAATCTTGGTTGCAGGTTCTTGCTATTCATCACTTTGAATATTTCTTGCCACTCTCTTCTGGCCTGCATGGTTTCTGTTGAGAAATCAGCTGACAGTCGTATGGGTACTCCCTTGTAGGTAACTGACTGTCTTTCTCTTGCTGCTTTTAAGATTCTCTCTTTATCTTTTGCTCTTGGCATTTTAATTATGATGTGTCTTGGTGTGGTCCTCTTTGGATTCCTTTTGTTTGGGGTTCTCTGCGCTTCCTGGACTTGTAAGTCCATTTCTTTCACCAGGTAGGGGAAGTTTTCTGTCATTATTTCTTCAAAAAGGTTTTCAATATCTTGCCCTCTCTCTCCTTCTGGTACCCCTATAATTCTGATGTTGGTACGCTTGAAGTTGTCCCAGAGGTTCCTTACACTATCTTCATATTTTTGGAATCTCTTTTCTTTTTTCTTTTTCGGTTGGGTATTTTTTGTTTCTTTGTATTTCAAATCTTTGACTTGATTCTTGGGATCCTCTTGTCTGCTGCTGGATCTCTGTAAATTATTCTTTATTTCAGTCAGTGTATGCTTAATTTCTAGTTGGTCCTTTTTCATGTCCTCCATGGTCTCACTATACTTACTGAGGAATTCATTAAATTTATCGGCGGTTTCCATAAAATTCTTGAAAAACCTTATAAACGTGGCCTTGAACTCTATATCCAATCGTTTGCTTTCCTCCATTTCTGCCATTTGTGACCTGTTTCTTTGTCTCCGCATTTTGGCAGCTTCCCTGTGTTGATAGAGTGGCCCTGTGCGCCAGGTGTCCTGTAGGGCCCAGTAGCTCAGCCTCCCCAGTTACCTGGGGTGGACACTCTTGGTGCACTCTTGGTGCCTTGGTTGTTGTAGAATCACTGGGAGGAATTGACCTCCAGGCCAATTAGCTGTGAGAATCAGCTGTGTCTAAAGTGGGAGAACTTCTGTGCTGAAGACACCCTTCTGGGGCAAGACTTGCTTCAGTGGGGCTTTGGTGCTCACTGAGTCTGCTCCCTGAGTGTGTCCCTTATGGATCTGAGGAGTTGCAGTCTGGATGGTCCCCCTCTGACCACTGGGTACAGTGGCTCCTGGATCTAAGGAGGTGCTAATTCAGCCTCTGCCTGAGGCCACACAGCAGGAGCCACGAAGAGGCTCAGCTGTGAAGCAATGCAAGCCGCTGCGGGGCCTTGGGCCTTCTCTTGGAAGTTCCGGGTCTGCCTGGCTTGGCTGCAGTTAGGTACATTCACATGCAAAAGCCTCTGCCGCAGCCTGGGTGGGGCGGGGTCTCAGGGAATCAAAGGGCGGATCAAGGATCTATGGCTGATTCTCCGCCCGGAGTCGCGGGTCTCAGTGACCCACTAATTGCTGCAAGCACCTCTGAGGGAAAGCCGCCTTCAAGTTCGCCCGCTGCCGGGCAGACCAGCTTCTCCCCGTATGAGTCCTGGGTCCCCAGAGACTTCCCGGAACCGGAGTTCAGAGCAGTCGGGAGCTTGTGATTCAAAAAGACAGCCGCGTCCTCAGGTGCCACCCCCTTTCCTCATGCGCGCGAGCCGCCGTACCTCTGCACTTCACCTCCGCAGCGCCTCTGGCTCTCAGCGTGCTTTTCTTTCCTTCTAGTTGTAGAATTTACACTCAGCCAGCCTTTCTGTTGTTCTGGATGATGTTTGCTCAGTCCTTTGCGGTAATTTTCAATTGTTGTGTGAGGTGACAATTTCCCGGTGTTTACCTATGCCGCCATCTTAGTTTTCTCTCTCCTGTCTTTCTTGATTCCAGATCAAATTGATGAAAATCTCAAACTGGCTTTGCAACAGGACCTGACCTCCATGGCCCCTGGGCTTGTCATCCAAGTAAGCATTGCCACCGTGGGAGTGTCCCCTGATGAAGGTGCATCCCCTCTTTCAAGGGATGTCCTTTCTGTGCAGGAAGATCAAGGACCAAGGGGAGCTGCTTAGGTCCCGTACCACTCTCACCTTCCCATCAGGTGCTCTTTTTATCCTTCCCCAGGCTGTGCGGGTGACAAAGCCCAATATACCTGAGGCGATCCGAAGAAACTACGAGTTGATGTGAGTATCCTCTGCCTAAGCTGTAACCACCACTCTCTCCCACCTCCCACCTCATCCCATCCCAGAGTTAACTGAAGCTGTGTCATGCTTTTATTCTCCTCCTTGAGTATTTGTCACAGCCCATTGCTCTGTAGGATGGAGCAGGCGTGTCGGGACAGTCACCTGGGCTCTGTAACTGTGATTGAGAGCCACGGAGAAGCCCTTTTGAGCAGTGATGCTTTTAAAGGGGCCAGGGGGCGCCTTTTTTGTGCTTCATGGCTCATGCCAAAGAAGATAGGAGGGAAAGACGATTAAGTGGGCAGGCAGGTGTATTTTACTAATGGCCACTTAAAGCAGATGGCAGCTGACAATAAGTAAATTATGCTCTGTTTCCCACAAATGAATTATTTTGGAGGAGGAGCAGAGCCATACTACTGTCTGCAACAAATTTCTTTTACCTGGGACACTGAACAGCCTACCAGGGGAGAGTAAGAAGTCAGAGTCCTCTCCTCAGAAGAGTTTGGCTTCCCCAGGGGACCGTGAGGTTCCTCGGAAGCTTTTCCATAGTGGCCTCACAACCGTCTACTTTTATTCCCCTCCAGGGAAAGTGAGAAGACAAAGCTCCTCATTGCAGCCCAGAAACAGAAGGTGGTGGAAAAAGAAGCTGAGACAGAGCGGAAGAAGGCTCTCATCGGTCTGGAAGTGGTTCTATGGCCCCCTTCAGGGCAGAAGGGCTGGGGATGGTGGAGAGTCGAGGAAACCTTAGACACAGTTAAACCACATGGTTCTCCAAACCCTTGCCACACGTAGGAGTGGCTGTCATACTCCCAGAAGCAAAGCTGCAATTGTCATATCGTGGCCTGGGGTGATAAGTTTTGAGTTTCCAAATATCTTTTTTTTTTTTCTCCTCACCAGATACCCTTTTTATTGATTTTAAAGAGGAGGCGAGAGAGAGAGAGAAACTTTGATCGGTTGCCTCCAGTATGTACCCCAACCAGGGTTCAAACTTATAACCCAGGTATGTACCCTGACCAGGAATTGAACCTGCCATCTTTCCCTGTGCAGGATGATGCTCCAACCAACTGGGCCACAACAGCCAGGGCCTACATCTCTTAAACAAAAGGACCCCTTACTATTAATTCATAATGATCATAGCTAACACTGAGCACTTACTATGAGTCATGTACTTTTCTAAGCACTTACATGTAAATTCTCTCTCCTCACAACTAGCAGATGAGGGAAGCACTATCATTTACCTCTCTTTACTGAGCGAAAGCACAGAGAGGTTAAATAAAAGGTCATATAGCAAGTTAAGTGGTGAAACTGGGGCTCAGATACCAGGACTCTGCTCCAGACCTGGGTTCTTAACCACTATACTGGACTATCAACAACAAACCTGACTGCTTCCTAACATGAGGTGGCAGGAAGAAACTTTTCAGAGAGTACCTTATTCCTTAAAATATTCCTTTGGGAGAAGTAATCCTTGTGACTTAAGAGAGAGGTTAGGACTTGTTCCTTGCTTTCATCAGAGTAATGACTCTCCTCACTTGGGCGCACGTCTCCCCAGTTGCTGTCTTGAGCTGATGTCATGGTTTGTGCTTACGGGTACACTCCCATCTGCCCATGTGTCCCTGCCACGGCTGTCCTCTGGGGCCAGTGACTCCATCTGTGCTTACCGACACTCCTGCACCAGGGCCTCTGATCAGGTGAAAGGTGGAATTGAGTCAAACTCTTGAACTACCAGCTCTAAGCCTTTTCTCAATTCCATTAACATAGAGGCAGAAAAGGTGGCTCAGGTTGCAGAAATCACCTATGGACAGAAGGTGATGGAGAAGGAAACTGAGAAGAAGATTTCAGAAATTGAAGGTAAGTGAAATTAATGCCTGAATTTTTCTCAAAGCCACTTTGTGGCGGGGAGAGGGGGGCATCATTTCCTTTGCTCTTTAAGCCCCCTTCTAAGATCTCTTGATGTATTTGGAACATCACTTTTTCTCTGCTTTCACTTTGGGGGAGATTTGGCATTAATTTTCCACTTCAGAGAACATTCATTCATTCAACAAATGCTAGTTGTGTGCCATTGGGAACTCACACAGTCCCTGCTGCTGTGGAGCTCACAGTCTGGCAGTGGAAGTAAACTAAGAAGCTGGCCAAAAAGCAGCTCTCTCCCGCCTGCCTTACCCACCCCTCCTGAGAAGTCCTCGAACTCCATAGCTCTGGCCTCAGCCTGCTCGCAGGTTCTCTGTAGATGTTAAGCTGGGTGTGAAGAAGACACCTTTTCAGCACCAACAACACGAGCTGGAGGGAAGTTGTTCCTTTGCTGACTTTTCTGTATATCACTTACCTTCAGTTCGCTGCCCCTCAGCCCTCACCTCATTCCCATCACCCACCTTTTTCCTTCACGCGCTATATGAGCAAATTCTAGGGCAGAAAGGGGACCTGAAAGCCCAACTTCAGGCTACTACAAAGTGCTGTGTCCAGTTATACTCATTATGGGGCCAGCCGGCTTCTCAGAGGCCTATTAGGGAGCCAGTTAGGATTTTGCAAATCAGCAGCTCCTCATTAGCGAGCAAAGCAACACATTTTTATTTCTTATAAATACATGCATGAGGTGCTAAGGCCCGTTAAGTCAGCCGCACGCAACCCAAACTGCAGTTAGACCAGTGATGGCGAACCTATGACACGTAAACTCATTTTTTTGGTTGATTTTTCTTTGTTAAATGGCATTTAAATATATAAAATAAATATCAAAAATATAAATCTTTGTTTTACTATGGTTGCAAATATCAAAAAAATTCTATATGTGACACGGCACCAGAGTTAAGTTAGGGTTTTTCAAAATGCTGACACGCCGAGCTCAAAAGGTTTGCCATCACTGAGTTAGACTGTAGGCTCCTTCCACCCAGGGTCAGGCTGAGGGTGTGTAGTAAGGATCCACCCACAGACTGACCTTTCCTCCTAGCCTTTTTGCTACAGATATTACTCACATGAGACTGGCCTTATTCCCTAGGCAAGGAAGTAAACATCAAAAATTTTGCATCAACTTGAAAGCTGGTCTTGGCAGATTGAGAAAGTATATTGCTTGTGTAGTGGAAGTTTAAGTAGGTCTTAAACCAAACAGGTGTTAGTCTGGACCATGGCTTATAATTCTCTTAGAGTTGTGCCAGCTTAACCACTGCTAATTATAACCTTTTTGAAATGGTTAATGGAAAGAAAAGGGAAATGAAGTTGGAGAGGGACCAAACTATTTTGTGGGAGTCAGTGTTAGGGTGGATCTGCCTCTGGCTGTATTCAGAGCCTTCTTTGGGCTTTTGCTGTGTAGCATACGAGGGCTGAGGTGGAAAGCTCTGAACCAGGAGGTTGAGGCAGGGTCCCTCCCCACACATGGAACTACAAACGGAACAGGAGTGCAGACACAGGAAGTGTCTCTGGGCAGCAGTGCTTCTCTCAATAATGCTGTCAGATAAGATGCTGGGCACAGCAACAGACTCCTCATGACCCACCACAGGGAGATGCAGGCAGAGCTCTTTACCCCTATTTCACAGATGAGGAAAACTCACCTCAGGGTCACAAAGGCACCCAGGGAAAGTTACAGCGACCAGACCCTGGTAGCCTCTGCACTTCAGGTCACTGCATTTTCCCCTCAGATGCTGCGTTCCTGGCGCGGGAGAAGGCAAAGGCTGATGCTGAGTGCTATACTGCTATGAAAATGGCCGAAGCGAATAAGGTAAACCATCAGTCTGCCTGGCGCAAAGAGAATGAGTATTTGGGTTTAAGCTGATTTTGTTTGAGAGTTCCCAGTGTGGGAAGACCTCCACCACCCAAAGCCCCCGTGGCCGAAAGTGATGACTCCTGTGCTGTGTGGGACAGGTTCTTCCCTTTTCATTAGCAGTGCCTTGATGGAAGTGTAATTTTCATGTTAAAAATGTTTGTGTTAAAAAACATGGGAACTCCTAAAACTTTTGCAGCTCTAGCCTTGAAGATCTGAGATAACTTTCTCCTAGAGAGTGGTTACCCTGTTACTAATGTAACTATGTGGCCAGGAAAAGGAGAGAGGGCATGTGTCTTTGACAGAGACCCTTCTTATGACAAGTGAAAAAGTGTCACCCATAGTTTTCTCTAATCTGGCTCCACCTGAGTCTTCTTTACTTCTTACTTTTGCAGCTGAAGCTGACCCCTGAATATCTGCAGCTGATGAAGTACAAGGCCATTGCTTCCAACAGCAAGATTTACTTTGGCAAAGACATCCCTAACATGTTCATGGACTCTGCAGGCAGTCTGGGCAAGCAGTTTGAGAGCCTAGCTGACAAGCTGAGTTTTGGCTTAGAAGATGAACCCTTGGAGGCAGATCCAGAGGAGAATTGAAAGAAAATTTTTATATAACCTCAGATGACACTTAAAGAGATCTTTATTTTTTAATGATGAACCAGGATGCCCCTCCCTCTCACACTACCTTCTTTGACTGTCTTCCAAGTACTGTGGTGAGAAAAAAAGAAATGGACTTAAATCTATCCCCATGGGAAGGAAGGTCAGGGATTGATGATTTTAGGATGTTATTCAGCTAAGTAGGTTATATGACTTCTTTTAAGAATTGTAAACCACAGGTTTGAACTTTGACCTCCAGGCACTAATTATAGTCCTTTGAAGCTGGCTTAATTAAGGATGCTATCAGTCAGGAGTGGGAGAAATAGAGGGTGTTGCCTGTAGGTGATTTGATTTCCCTTATTTGGGAAAACACAGTCCAGATTCCTCGCCCCTGCCTCCAAGGTAGGAGATGCCTCTAGGTGAGGCTCACACTGAGCAAATATGTGCTGGTAAGTTTGTCAGGAGAGCCGTGGGGAAGCAGCTGTGAGTGCTTGGCTTTCCTGGTGTTCTTGTCAGTGCATACGTGAGTTATTTCAGAGGTACGCTTCTTGAGCCCTCATAAGGAAGAACCGGTGCTAGATTCTGCTAGCTTTTCTCTACACACTACCCTCCTTGCCCTAGGGCTTAGCCTTACCAGACCTGAGGCCCTGAACCTAACTGTCCCCTATACCTGGGCTCCTGAGCATTAAAGAGAAAAAACCAACATGATATAGAAAAATGTTAGTTACATGCAAACAAGTGGTTAGAATAAGATGGAACTTGGAGACATTGTAGAAAATAGGTCTACCTTTCATCTAGCGCCAATATTCCACCTTTGTGTGGAAATTACCTAAAAATCGGTACAGCAGTCTGGTAGGGTTGGTTTCGGACTACATTGCCAGTCAGGGTTTGGTCATAACCACACAATTCTTTTTAAAACTTTTCACCTATTCTGTGATTTGGGTTTTGTGTTTTTCCCCTCTCGGTCTGTTCACTGGTTCCAGTCAGCATCAAGAAGACAGGGACAAACAACTCAAGTATCTTAATAGCTGCTAAAGTGGGATCGTTATGTCTGTTAGCCACTATCATACTTGCTTGGCAAACTCTGTATGTTCCTTGAGATCAAATCTTCTTTTTAATCCTCATCCAAGGATATGTGTTATTGTTTTTATTGATTTGAGAGAGAAAGAAACATTGATTGGTTGCCTCCTATATGTGTTCTGACTGGGGATCGAACCGGCAGCCTTTTGATGCACGGGACAATGCTCAACCAACTGACCACCCAGCCAGGGCGAGATCACGTGTCTTTTTATTGTTGTAGAGAGTCAAAATTGAAGAGCTCCTTTGAAAGAGAAAGCAGGGCCATCCAAAAGGGTTCCTAATTTTCATGTATATGGCTTGTGCTGGGAGTTTATCCGGTGTAGTGACAGCACGTTTTTAAATTCAGGGCTCTAGGCAGCCACACGGGGATCAATTAAATGTTCAATTTCTATAGACAGCTGTGTGGGTGCAAGTCAGAGTTCATGCCCAACTACCGGGGTTGCAAGGGCTGCATCCAAATCTGTTCAAATGTTTTCTTTTTCATTACTAATTAGGAAAAGTTTGAGTCACTCTGGAAGATTTGAAACGGGGGAGAGCAAACATGAAAGGAAGGTTTTCCTACATCTTGGAATTGGAGTTGGGCATTGGGGGAGGGGGGCCCAGCCTAGAGAGCCCAAAAGTTGTATACCAAATTACTGAGGGCAGCTGTCGGGAGTTAACTTGCAAGCATGTTGCTATTCTCCATGACCTTGTTATTAGCTACCACCCCCCCCCCCCCAAAAAAAAAATACTCCCACTATACCCCTTTCCCTTCAGTGAAACTATAAATGCTACTTTCTGGCTCAAATCTCCCCCCCCCCCCCCCCCGCTTCTTTTTTGGTCCCACACCCAGACTTCTAGTTTATCAAATGGCCCCAGAACTCATGCCAGTTTGCTTCTAAGTAGCAAGTTTGGGGAACATTCAGCCTGCCTAGGAAGAAACAAAGTGTCAGATGTTGCCCTTCTCTTTTCTACTTTTGGGGACTAGAATTCTCACACCACTGGTCCTGACCACACTTTGTGCAGGCAGCCAAATGTTCCTGAGATGATGGATTTGAATGTGCTCAGAAGTCTTCGCAGAAAGCCGGCAGTCTCCCAAGACCAACATAGGGTATCATTGTTAACATATACACCCCCCTACTCACATTTCAATGCCATTAATCACTTGTTAGGAGCAGCATATTACCTCCAGAATCCCTGATTTACATATTTGTCTGCTCCCTCTACTCTGAGACTTGCTACCTAGGTCACAGAAAACCCTACTTCATTACAACTAGATGAGGAGCAAAAGTATCTCAGTCTCTTGGAATAGCACGTTTGCTCAGGTTCTTTATGTTGGAAGCCTCTCTAATACTAACATCCTGGGATGTTAGTGTTGTCCCTTGCACTACATACTCTATGACCACAGAAGAGCACCAATAAAGACCAGCCCCTGCTCCTTCAAAGTTAATGTCACTTCCTCTTTAAAGTATATATATAAATGTAGTACCCACTAGTTTAAATCCAGTGACTGTCTGTACCTGCCTGAATAGTACAATCATGGGAGTCAGCTCTTCCCTTAGCATGGGACAACCATGTCTGTCAGTGTGACTTTCTTTAACACTTACTAGAAAATCTGATCTTAACATTTGAATTCTAAATACATAAAATGTGATCGCCTGCAATTTTGTAGGCAGTGAAGTCGTGGCTGCTATTTATAAATGGAACGTCTATCAAAATAAGTAACTGTTTATAAAATTCAGTTGTTGTAGGATTTTCCAAGGAAAAGTCACCTTGGTTGAATGTTTCTCATTAAACTTTGCAGAAGTGATTCATATTCAGCACTGTTTTAAATCAATTTTTATATAAGGACAGAATGTTTGCAAGGAAGCAAGAGTTTGTTAATAACTTTTATATGACTAAAATAAAATAAATTTGGAGGTATCTATAATCATATTAAGTTGAGGAAGAAAAAAAATCACTGAATTTTTGTAATACAGCAGGTCCTCAACATCGTTTCATTCTGAGTAGTTTTGTTATAACATTGATGAGATGCCATAGGAACTTAACTCTTGTTTATATCACCTATTCTAATATTAGATTCTTGTTATAGTAATGACTCTAAAATGAATGATATGCTGTGTTAATTGCCTTGGGTTGATAGCTAGAGGAATTGTTTTGGACAACACCAAAGGTGTGAACTTATGTCTTAGTTTTATTTTCAGTCTTGCTAAATAAAATGAATCTTTGTATTTACTTTTTTATTAAAGTGAAATTTAGCAATAACTAATGTACTTACTGTATATTAATCCAAAAAAAACATGTTTTATAAATGCTCTATTGCAATTTCTATGGGTCTATCTTTCAACACTGAGAAGTTTATCACTTATAGAGAGTAAATAGTGGAAGTAAGATCATCATAAATACTGACTTATCTATGTTTGAGGATAAAATCTACAGATGTTCAACTTAAATATCATTAAGTTGAAAATATATTTATACACCTAACCTACTGATCATTATGGCTTAGCCTAGCCTACCTTAAACACGCTCAGAACCACTGACAGCCTACAGCTGGGCAAAGTCATCTAACACAAAACCTATCTTATAAAAGTATTGAATATCTTGTGAAATTTATTATGTGTATCACTTTGGCACCATCATCAAGTAAAAAAATAAGTAGGGGACCATCTGTATTTTGGGTAGCAACTATTCTGTGTCTATGAACTTAACCACTATTCCTTTCATTCCATTCGGTAGGGATCTAGCCACTGTTTTTATTGTTTTCTTATAAAAGTGGTAATAGCCAATCATTTTGTGTTTGTATTTTCATTCCTTTTTATTATTACTAGTGACCCGGTGCACGGATTTGTGCACATTGAAAGAAAATTAGAAGGTGGCCAGTGGGGCTGGACTGGGCGAGAAGGGCCGGACACGCCCTGGAGCCAACCTCCCATGGTCCCTCCATGGCCGGCCACACCTGGGGTGGCGCCTTGGCTTGAAGGGCATCTGCAGAGTGAGCAGGGTCCCTCCGGCAGGTGGGGTCCCTTGGCCTGGCCTGTGGGAATCGGGCCCAAACTGGCTCTCCAACATCCCCCTAGGGGTCCTGGAGTACAAGAGAGCACTCTGCAAAGTTGCTGTTGTACAGGGTGTGGAACACAAACGCAAGTGTACAGTAAGCCAGATTCAGAGACGACAGTGCCCCAGCAACAACATAACCCATGGCTGAAGGTAGAATCGTGCAGCCCTGCAAGGAATCGGGCTCTCTCCTCTCTGGTTTTGGGGTGCGTCACCCAAGAACCACCACTGCCAAGTCACCACAGCTTGGCAGCTCCTGCGTTGAGCGTCTGCCCTCTGGTGGTCAGTACATGTCATAGCTACCGGTCGGATGGACACTTAGCATATTAGCCTTTTATATATATAATTGATTTTGAGAGAGAAAAAACATCAATGTGAAAGAGAAACTGATCAGCTGCCTCCCACACCCCAACCTGAGATGGAACCTGCAACCTGGGTATGTGCCTGACTGGGAATCAAACCCACCACCTTTTGGTGTACCAGATGACGCTCCAACCGACTGAACTACACTGGCCAGGGTAAGGATCTTCATTCCTTTCATTTCTCCTTTTATGTAAGCAGGTGATTAAATAATCAAACTAAATCTAGTTTCAAAGAGCCCTGAGGGCTTAATGACTCCCTTTGTAACTGAAAAATTATTCTTGTTATAGTAATTCCTCTATAAATAAATGATATGCTGGATTAATTGCCTTGGGTTGACAGCTGGAGGGATTGTTTTGGACAACACCAAAGATGTGAACTTATATCTTAGTTTTATTTTTAGTCTTGCTAAATAAGTATTTGTATTTACTTTTTTATTAAAGAGAAATTTAGCAATAGCTAATATTAGGATAGATGATATAAAGAAATAAAATATCCCTGCCTAGTGAGTTGAGCACAAGACTGTCCTAAAAAGATATTCATATGAATATATATCCCCATTATCAATGTAGAAACAATAAACAACTAATTTGTGAACATTGTATAATTCTTGTTAGGTACTATAGAGATTTATAATTTTAAAGAATCCATACACCACTGCAATTCTGCTCCAAAGGGCAGAGACATTTTTAATTGCCCCATAATTCATTGTAATATCAATTCAGTGAAAAAGTCCCATTCTCTACTCTGAAAAGATGCTCAGCCTAGGGTTGCCAAATACAGAATGCCCAGTTAAACATGAATTTCATATGAACAATGAATAATTTTTAGCATAAGTATCTCCAAAATATTGCATGAGACATACTTATACTAAAAAGTTATCCATTGTTTACATAAAATTCACATTAAACTGAGAAGCTGTCTTTTTATTTGCTAAATCTGACAACCCCAGCCCAGGCTCTCTCAGGTTTTTTAATGGCGCTCCCAAACTTTATTGGTTTGGAAGCCTATTATACCTGTTATATGAACTTACAATAGAAGGGGTAAGTTAAGAATGTAGATACTGGAATTAGACTGCCAAGACTCAAATCCCAACTCTACCACTTCTGGGGAATAAGGTTTTGAATAAATTCCTTAACCTGTCTGGGCCTGTTTCTTCATCTATATAATGGGTTGAATTAATTAAATGAAATAATGAACTTAAACGGGTTAGCACTGTGTCTAGTGTGTATATCTGTTCAAAAATACTTATTTTCAGTCATCTGGAAAAAACAAGCTAAAAGTATTAAGTAGGTACCACTAAATGGATAATCATATGTGATAACAGAATAAGATTACAAGCAGGATAGTACATCGAGGAGAAGGAAACCACCGCAATGCAACAAACACAGTATTGAGAATACATACTTCTACCTATGTAACATGTAGGAAACAATCTGGTATGGCCCTATTGAGAGAATTGCTGAGTTCCAGGCTCTAATTAGGAAAATATTTGAAAAGGCTAGAGAGAAAACAAAATGTTAAAATGAAAAGAAAAATGTAGTTAAAAGATATAGCTCATGGGTTGACCCCAAGAGAGGCAGAAGGGAAATTTAGCAGCCTTATGTTTATAAAAGTTGCATAATGGTTGGCTAGGTAATCTCTGACTCTTCAAAGACCAGAGAAGGAAATTGGCTTGCAGAATACAGTGTTTTTTAAGATTTTACTTCTTAAGTCTGGCTAAAAATTGAAATGGGAAGAAGTAGCTTTCTGCAAATAGAAAATAAATACAGGGATAAGCATGGATAACTTTTTTTTTTTCTCTGATAGTCTTCAGAAATTGGGGAGATTCTATGGTTTAAATGTCAGTCTACCTATATGAAAGACAATGATCTCTAAAGGTACTCCCCAACTCTAGGGTTGGAGAATCTATATTGACATTTCAAAAGCCAGATGTGACCATGTTTGCTGAGGGGTTGCTGTCATGGCTACTCTACCTGAATTCATTTAAACTGGGACAGGAGCATTATTTCTCCATTTTTCTTCAGAGCCAAGTAACCAGGCAACAGTAATTTTCTATTTTATCTTTTTTTATCCCCCCAAAAGACAGTAAGCTCAGAGGAAACAATCTTAAAATCCAAAAAGGTTTTTCTCATAATTCGTGGCCTTACACTACAGGGGTAAATGTTTTAAAAGCTTGATGGCATTTATGGTGAATAAGTATACTAGGTTTTAGATTGTCTATGAAATCTATTCCTCTGGGCATTTGGCTTTTTAATCTTTCTCTTTTCCCCTTTGTCCTTGCAAACTACTGAAGAAATTTAAAGACAGTTAACTAGTGATAAAGTGATTTTTGGACCTGCATTTTTCAAAGATTAGGTCATAGGGAAGGATGAAATGTTAAACTAGATGGTTGACGTTCCAGGAAGAGGAAGAGAAGAAAGTAAAATAGTAAGAAGAAAAAGGTGGAATAAAGTTGATTCAAAAGCACAGCTAACAAAGAAATTGTTACCCAATACCCCAAGATTTCGGATTCTATCTCCAGTCAGGACGCGTACAAGAATCAACCAATGAATGCATAAATAAGTGGAACAACAAATCTCTCTCAATATTTCCCTACCTACCTACCTCCCTCCCTCCCTCTCTAAAATCCATAAATGGATAAAAGTTTAAAAAGGAGTAAAAAAATTGAAAAATGTGAAGTGATAATGAACTGGAGTCACCATGATCTTTTTGTCCTTACTTCCATTTTCATAAGGTCATAGAGTGTTAAAGATAAAAAGCATATTAGAAACGAATCCATAGTAAAGCCAGTCTTACTCAACTTGGTCTCCCCCAAGGTACCTTTTACAGAGAAATGCCTCAATAAATATTGACTGAATGGATAAGCAGGGGTGGGCAGACTCACACTCATTGAACATTTGCACCTGATTTGGGGGAAGCAGTCTTCTAAGTGAGTAACACATTACCTTTTTTTTAAGATTTTTTAAAATTTATTTTGAGAGGAAGAGGAAAGGAGAGAGAGAGAGAGAGAGAGAGAGAGAGAGAGAGAGAGAGAGAGAGAGAGAGAGAGAGAGAGAGAGAGAGAGAGAGAGAGAGAGAGAGAGAAACATTGATCAGCTGCCTCCTGCACAGCCCGCACCAGGGATCAAGCCCACAACCCGGGCATGTGCCTTGACCAAGAATCAAAGGAGCAACCTTTTGGTGCACAGGACGACACACAACCGAGCCACATCAGCCAGGGCTGTAACATGTTCTCTTGATTGATTCTTACTGGAACTCTGAAGGGAATATTGACTCTATTTTATGAATGAAAGACTGAGAATTTCAGTAACTTATCCAAGATCACAGTTCAGTGACAAAACCAAGATTCAACTTGTGCCATTCCTATGCCACCTCTACCCAATCTTGCCACCACTGCCCTTATTGGCTTGAAAGTTTAAATCACTTTCCTGATGGCTTTTTGGGAGCTACACACATATATGCCATGATGGCTAGGGTCGGGGAGTTGACCTTGTAATTCAAAGAAGAGGCCTGACCTGTGTTATTTTTCAATATTTTCCAAATAGCATATCACTTTAAGCGTTTCATGCTCACCCAATCCTTGCTCTACACATCCCTTCACTGATTCCCATCACTGATGGCTGGCTAGCACCCTATCTATAGCAAACTTCTATTATATTCACACCATGAAGGGCTATTCTTGTCATTTTATAAAATTTTTAAATATATTTTTATTGATTTCAGAGAGGAAGGAAGGGGGAGAGAGAGATAGAAACATCAATGATGAGAGAGAATTATTAATCAGCTGCTTCCTGCACACCCCACAGGGGGGATTAAGCCCACAACCCTGGAATGTGCCCTTGACCGGAATCGAACCTGGGGCCCTTTAGTCCGCAGTCCACGCTCTATCCACTGAGCCAAACCAGCTAGGGCTCATTTTTAAATTTTTATCACTTTGGCAGGAATAGAAATTAAGTCCAGAAACATTTGAAAACGTTTCCTAACGTCCTTGACAACCCTAGCTACGTGTGCCTGGTAAATGGAGACTTCCCCAAAGGAAGTCCTTGAGGGCAAGGACCCAACGTGTGAAATTCCATTTCCGTCCCTGAAGTCTGGGAAGAGGATGAGAGAAGAAAGGAAGAATACTGCCCTTACTTTTCCAGTCACCTCTAGGCAACCTGCAGAACAAACCTGAGCCCTTTCTCCAACAGAACATCATCCACTTCTTTAAGTTGCGTTAATGTTGGAGAGTCAACGGGAAGGCCCAAAGTGCTCTCCTTAACAAACGTGATCTCCTTCTACTTGCCCACAGCGCCTACACTTCACCATCTGTCAGTTTCGTGTTTTACCTGGTTGGTTTAGTCCCTGTTGTCTAGCTCCTCATCCCGTTTCCCATCATCACGTTGCCCGGAGCTGCACAAAGGGGCTGACAAGGTAGCACTGGCTGCAGGTGGCTTCAGCCCCAAGCGAGGCCGGCTGCAGGTCCAAGCTACACCGGACTTTGGAAGCTAAATACGATAAAAAGAAATTGCAATATCTCACTTGAAGTTTCTCTATCGGTTACATGTTGAAACCTTATTTTGGCTATATTGCGTTAAATACAATGTATCATTAGGCTTTTACTTTGTAGGTGCCTATTCGATAACATTTTTTAATTTCCTATGTGGCTCCCATCCGTCTTGCACAGCCCTGGTCTAAAGGATGACAAGCGGAAACGAACCATACACTGAAGCTTGCCGAGCCTTGTACATCTCTTCGCGGTTCCTCACAAGAATGTCTGAGATACAAAAGCGAGGTCCCCCGCCTTCGCTGCTTCTCATCCTGGTCCCTGCGCACGGAAATCCTGGGTCACAGCTCTTCCCACGGCGGGGATGGGGAATGAGAGGCATTTTGAAAGGGAGCAGGCCGCCTATTTTGCTTCCAGAGGGTCCCGCTAGGGCGGGGGCAGCAGCGGACCAGGCGACACGTCTTTGAAGGTTCTCCGGCAGCACTGGCACGACGCCAGGAAGGCCCAGCGCCCAGGGTGACCATGGCGACCTCCCCAAGATGGCCGTCGCAGAGGGGCGGGGCCTCCGCTGCACCGCCCCCGCCCCGCCCCCGCGGCGCTCAGTGTCCATTGGGTGAGACGATTCGGACGTGAGCGCTGATTGGGCCATCCAGAGACGTAAGTGGGGCTGGACCGGAAGGTGTCCTCAGCCCCGGGGTGCCGGGGTCTGGGTCTCGACGTTCGTCCCGTGGGATGTGGAGAGCTGGCAGCATGTCGGCGGAGCTGGGAGTCGCTTTTGCTCTGCGGACAGTGAACGAGCGCGTGCAGCAGGCGGTGGCGCGGCGGCCGCGGGTGAGGAAGAGGACAGTGGGCGGCCGCTGTGAGGAGGGGGACACCTGCGTGGGAATAGGTCGTCACGGTGACGCGGAGGGCTCTCCCGGAGGGGCGGGGCCCGTCCGCCGCCTGGGCCTTGGCACGGGTGGTAAAGCCCCCAAAAGCTAGCGAAGGGCTGGCTCCCTCGGTGGCCTCGAGATGAGACTGGCCGGTTTCCTGGAGGTTGGCTTAGTTGGGACGGGAGGTGTCCGCCATTCCGGGAGAATGACCGGTCCCCGGGCATCGCGGCTTTTGCCCATCCCGCTTCGTGTGGGAATCAACAACCTTAGCGGACGGGAGAAGGGTCAGGCCTGTGCCCAGGAGCGGCAAGAAAAGACGTCTCCTACCGGAGCACCCGAAGGGGGCCAGATCCGCCTGCGATCACGTGTGTGGCAGCGCCTAACAGCTAGTCGATGCTCAGCAAACGTCAGTGGGCGACGGAGCCGGCGGGTCGATTGGCCTGGCCGAGCTGCACTTGCGCGTTTGCGGCGGGAGCGGGCTGACATCTGATCCCCTTCAGGGGAGACTTTTTTTTTTTTTTCCATATATATTTTTTGTCTTCTCCTGCAATTTCATTAGACCACGGGTCAGTCAATATCTGCCCCCCTCGGATGGTGTGGAGTGAGACGCACCTCAACAGAGGGGTCACAGGCTTCTCTTCTCCTCAGTACTTATGGTGTCAGAACTCAGAATGCTGCCCTGGCCGGTTTGGCTCAGTGGGTAGAGCTGTTGACCTGCGGATTGAAGGGTGCCGGGTTCGATTCTGGTCGAGGGCACATGCCTGGGTTGCAGGCTCGATCCCTAGTGAGGGACGTGCAGGAGGCAGCCCATCAATGATTCTCTCATCATTGATGTTTCTATCTCTCTCTCCCTCTTCCTTCCTCTCTAAAATCAATAAAAATATATTTTTTAAAAAGAATAACTCAGAATGCTGGCCTGGAACTCATAGACAAAGAGTGGATTGGTGGTTGTCAGAGGGAAGGACAGTTGGGGGAATGGGTGAAAGAAGTGAAGGGATTAAGAAGTACAAATTGGGCCCTTGCTGGTTTGGCTCAGTGGATAGGGTGTTGGCCTGCAGACTGAAGGGTCCTAGGTTCAATTCCTGTCAAGGACACATGCCTCGGTTGTGGGCTTCGTCCAACAGGCAGAAGGCAGCCAATCAATGATTCCCTCTCATCATTGATGTTTCTATCTCTCCCTTCCTCTCCCTTCATCTCTGAAATCAATAGAAATATACTTTTTTTAAAAAAAAGAAGTACAAATTGGTAGTCACAAAATAGTCACGGGGATGTAAAAAGTACAGCATAGGGAAAAATAATCAACAATCTATACTAATAAAAGGGTACTATGCTAATTAGACTGGGTCGACTGGATATCTTCTAGTCATCCAGTCCTCCTTCCAGACAGAGCCACAGAGCGGGGGCTGAGGCAGAGGCGGTTAGGGGTGATCAGGCCAGCAGCGGAGGGCAGTTAGGGGCGATCAGGCTGGCAGGGGAGGGAGGTTAGGGACAATCAGGCAGGCAGGTGAGTGATTAGAAGCCAGAGGTCCTGGATTGTGAGAGGGATGTCTGAGGGGTCCTAGATTGGAGAGGGTACAGGCCAGACTGAGGGACGCCCCCCCCCCTCCCATGCACAAATTTCGTGCACCGGGCCTCTAGTATTTCAATAACTATGTATGGTACCAGGTGGGGACTGGAAATATCAAGGGGAACACTTTGTAAAGTATATGATTGTCTAATCACTATACTGTACACCTTAAACCAATACAAAATAATATTGAAAGTAAACCATAATTGAAAAATAAAAATAAAAAACGAATGCTGGCCTAGAGACAGAAGACCTGTATTAGTATAGCCGTTCCTTGGCCACTAGTTAGATAGTACCTTCCACAAGTCATTTAGCTACTCTGGTCCAGAGTTTCCTCATCCGCACAGGCAAGGGAATGAACTCTGATTGCTCTGAGCTCACTCCCGCAGTAAATGTTCTATGATTCTCAGCAATTCTCCAGGATAAACTAGGGATTTCCCTAATAAACATCACATTTGGAGGTTTTCCCAGCATAGCTCTCAGGCAGACTTGCTGCTTGTTTCACCTTTCTGTTTGGAAACCTTCAGTTCATCAACATAATCCTGGGAGTTATGGTATGATGTTATAAAAGGCTTTTGTTAATGCACCCTCAGAAGAAGAAACTCTTTGTAATTGACCTGACTTCTCAGGCCCTTTGAGAATACTGTGATTCTGTAAAAATCGCAAAAGGGTGGTGGGGTACATGAAAACTGAACTATGTAAGGAGAGGTGAATCTCTTATTGCTTCTGTGTGGATTTTGTTCCAGTAGAATTTGGAGAAGCCTGGCTTCTTTATGTAACGGCCATGAGAAGGGGGTCGGAGAGGTCTAATCCTGAGTCCAGAGTTTTTTGTGCTTCCCTGCCTCAAGTCTGCCACTGGTTCTTGATTAAACTGAACAATAGAGTATATAGTTATTGTAAGCAGGCCACTTTTGAAAGTGAATGGGATCAATGTTAATAATTATACCATGACCAGAATGAGTTTCCAAAACTGTTAATTTGGGGGTTTCAGGAACCAGAAGTAGCCTTCTTTCTAGTCAGAGTGATGCCTTCCATTACTGGTGATTTTTTTCTTTATTAAAAAAGTTTTTTCTTTAGCCGAAACTGGTTTGGCTCAGTGGATAGAGCGTCGGCTTGCGGACTGAGGGGTCCCAGGTTTGATTCCGGTCAAGGGCATGTACCTGGGTTGCGGGCACACCCCCAGTAGGAGGTGTGCAGGAGGCAGCTGATCGATGTTTCTCTCTCATCGATGTTTCTAACTCTCTATCTCTCTCCCTCTCTCCCTTCCTCTCTGTAAAAAATCAATAAAATATATAAAAAAAAAAAAGTTTTTTCTTTAATATTTTTAGAGAGAGGGAGAGAAAGAGAAACATTTCCTGCATGCCCCCTACTGAGGGTCAAGCCCAGAAACCCAGACTGGAATCGAACCAGGGAACTCTCAACCCACTGAGCCATACAGGCCAGGGCAATTAAGTGATTCTTAAACCTCCAACCTTGGTGTGCAAGAGAATCATCTGGAAAGTTTGTTTAAAAGGGAGATTCTCAGACTCCAGTCCCAGAGATTCAAATTCAGTAGGTCTGGAGTGGGATCCAGGTAATGCTGAAACAGTTGGTCAAAGACTGCATTTTAGGAACTGTACTACTTTTACTTACCTACCCAGCTTTCCTGAGAAATGTCTTTTGCTAAATATTAAAGTAGCTAACAGATTTAGATGCAGTGCATTTGAAAGATATTTGAACAACATTATTTGGAACTGATCTCCCTGCAATACTGGAAAAATGGAGCTTACCAAAAACAAGTTAAGATGTATGCTGATCTGTTGTACAGGATCTATCTTACAGGACTTATCAGGATACTATTCCCAAACATTCACTTATCTGGCTCTTTCCCTTTTGGCAGGACCTCCCAGCCATCGAGCCCCGGCTAGTAGCCGTCAGCAAAACCAAACCTGCAGACATGGTGATTGAGGCCTACAGTCACGGCCAGCGCACTTTCGGAGAAAACTATGTAAGAGCCCTTTTCCAAACTGCCTTCGGAAGAGTCATGTTTGCCACACTTCTGACGTGTCTTTTTCTACCCTGTAGGTTCAGGAACTGCTAGAAAAAGCATCAAATCCAAAAGTAAGTAGCTATCTGAATTCTTGAGTTTGTATCTAAATCTTGGCATTTCAGTTGAAAATTAGACCCATGTTGGTGTTTGAGTTTTAGAGCAAGAGGTTGGGTTGGCGGTAGAAATGTCCAGTCACCTTGAGCCCCAAATATTTCTCAGATTTTCTTTTTTTAAAAATTTCTTTATTGATTAAGGTATTACATATGTGTCCTTATCCCCCCATCAGATTTTCCTTCTGTATTAAAAGACTGTTGTTTTCTCCTTTGCAAGTTTTTGAAAATGGTGATTTTTAGGAGTTTGCTGTAATGGTGGATCCTTTTGAGATTTGAAAGCTTTAATTAGTTCATTCTTAATGGGCAATATCTGAAAGATGGAGGGAATTGATAGGAACAAGGAAGAGAAAAAAAAAAACAGAAGCCTTAAATGTTTTTCTAAATATCCTTAGGAGCCTAGCTGAAGGTGGTGGTAGTGCATTATTGCATAGACATGAAAGGTCAGAAGGAAGTGTACAAAGTATTTGAGCCAGCTAGGCCTCCGTAAAATCCACATCAAACTTAGTTACCTTTTTCTCTTCAGATTCTGTCTTCATGTCCTGAGATTAAATGGCACTTCATTGGCCATCTGCAAAAACAAAATGTCAACAAATTGATGGGTAAGATAAAACTCGTTATATGAGCATATGGTTTTTCTCTTTTAGTTTGTTAACATATTGAAATACATTTATTGATTTCCAAATGTTAAATCAATCCTATATTCCTTGGGATAAATTTTACTTGGTCATGAAGTATTATCCTTTTAAAATAATGTTGCATTTTATTTGTTAGTTATTGCTTAGAATTTTTGCATCTATATTCAGAAGGAACATTCATCTCTAGTTTTCTTTTCTTGAAATGTCTTTATTTGGGTTTCATATCAAGGGTAATGCTGGCCTCACAGAATGAATTGGGAAATATTTCTTCCTTAAGTCTTTTGGAAGAGTTTGTGTGGGATTAGTATTATCTCTTCCTTAACCATTGGTAAAATTTACCAGTGAAACCTGAGT